GGATTGCTCTTCATGTAGGCACATCAAAACTCGTTTTATAGTAGTTGGTTCAGGTATTGATAACTGCAGGTGCACCAGCAAGAGGCTCATTTTAGCATCCAGTTGGATGTGTATCTTACAGCCAGCTAGAACTGAATTACATCTTCCCAAGGCCGCACTGCTAACAGGATGTAAGCCAGCTATTTTGCAACTATGTTTTTACCTTCACATGTACTACAGTCACACCTTCAACTGCTAAGAAGACATGCTGGGAATGGCACTCACTGCTGGCACGAGAGATGCTGAAAATGATGATGACAAGCATTTAGCTACAAAAATGTCTGTTGACTTCAGGTGTCAACCTAATAATCAATTTTCAAAAGCCAGTACTGGGCACTTACGGTAGGAAACAAAAGCTCACAGACAGTGAACAGATAGTCCTGAAAAGTTTCAAGTTGGGCTTGAAACTTTCCTACAAGCTGAGGAACATAAAATCAGCTGGTACTAGAGGATACTGGCAAAATTTGCTGCCTTTCACATCAACAGGGAAAATGCTATCTCATTTGCTTAAAATTGTTTGCTTTTACTGAAGGCTTACTGTTTTGCAGGTCTGTACACACATAAATGCTTACCTATCACTATAAATACACATGCTGTAAGAACTAAGGTGCGATAAAAGACTTAATTTTTTGGAGCCACCTGGTTCTCAGAGGGCTTTGCTGGGTTCTAACCTCCAGCAGCAGAACCAGTCCTTGCGGTCTTGGCCAAAGCCAGCCCAAGTTATGAAAAGTCTTTCCTTGGAGTTCAGTGGATATATTAGGTCTTCAACATACAGTCCTTATCAGTCAGTGGGTGTGCTGAGACCAAGACTGATATAAAAAGGAATCACTGGTTAGCAGTTCCTTCACATTGTCATCCTGGAAATGAGGGGAATTACTATACAGGGTATTAGAGAGTTATTTAGCATTGCCTGCTGTAAACTCTTACCCAGACCAAGCTTAAACATCCTGGGGAGCGTGAAACTACAGATACTGTCGGTTCAATGAAGAGGTCTTAAAAACACCTTTCTTTTCTTTAGCCTGACAGGCTAGATACCATTTGGGAAACGCTGGCCTGTGTGCACAAGACAGACTAGCACACTGTAAGATTTCAGGTTACAGGGAAGGTATTATGTAGCTGTAGAAATAAATCTAAGCTTAACATAAGCAGTCCTCAAAGCGAGGTCAAAGGCTAATTCAAATGGTGTAAACCTAGTATCTTCCACAACCACCATTTTTATTTATATGATTTTATCTTCTCTAATTGAAAGGGTGGTGGTCTGCACTGAGGATGATACCTAGGTATAACTGGCTGACATTCAGATCTTGATCATCCAGCCCTGATTAACGAACATTGATTTTCTGCCCCAGTGGAAGTGATTTTATTCTGATGCATGCCATTTAAATTCATTTTACACAGTTGCTTAGTGCGGCTTGGCAAGGCAGAGGCAAAACAGCTTTCTATATCTAAATGAGACTCCTGAGCTGGTGAAGGATAGATCCTGTGGATTAACAGCTGAAGATAAATTTCTCTCCCGTATTGACGCTTGGCTACTGATTCAACAAGTTGACCTTGAAGGGGATCACAACCAACTTGTACAGAAATATTGCTGTGTAACCATGACTCTGACACAACCATTTCATTTTCTTCCTAATTCTACACAGAGGGGTGTGTTTTATAGTAATAACAATCCAACAGTTTTTCAACCCCCCAGCTGAATCTTAGGAACTCAAGACATTCAAAGAAAAAGGCTGGATACTATTCATGCACTTTGGCATATTAACAGTGGATGTCTTTCCAGTTAGATGAAATAGTCTGGTGAGAGTGCTCTCCCATTTCACCAATTTTTGCTTTTTGAACAGGAGAACCAGTAGACTTGTGTTCTAATTTTTTGTTTTGCTTTGTACTTTTTTCATATGCACATATATGAATGACGTTATTAAGGAAAAAAACCAACAAACAAAAGCAGCTACAGGAAACTGGTAATTAAAACTTGTTAATAACTATGAAGGCAGCAGTAATTTGGAGTGTAACAGATTTCCAATGGAGGTAACAACTGAAACAACATGATGGCAGGGAAGTCCACAAAACTTGAATCTCAGGTGAAGCTGGACTTGGTTGTGAGGGAGCAACAGGCTGGGAGCCAGTGTAGATACCTTGTCCCAGAGCTGTAATTTATGATACGGTTACAGAAATCAGAGTGTGAAGGACTTTGGTAAGAAAACAGTAGTTGCATTTCAGGCGAAAGTTTTGCACTGGATACTTACTGCTCCTAGAAATTGTTCTAGCAACTAACTGAAATATTTCAAACGCATGCGCTCTCAATTACAGCGTAATAAAACTTTCTTGAAAATCCCATTAAGAAACCCTGTCATCACTCCTGCAGTACACCACTTCAGAAAGGGACCATACTTTGCGGCTTGCAGCTCACTGCCCAGGCAGCAATGACAATACCAACAACAAGTCAAGAAAATGGGGTTGCACAGCACCACTGCGAGACAAGAACACAGAGAAAGACAATGGATGGGTCAGAGGAAGAAGCGATCTCATTCCTTCTCAGTGATGAGGTTCTTCATTTCCCTCTCAGGCACAAGGAAATGGAGCCATGCCAAAAGCCATGCAGGTGTGTGAGGGAGCAACATGCAAATTTTCATCGTACTGTCACAGTGGCATTAGTAAAAAGAAAACAAAAGACTAAAATCCCCTCTATGATGCAAGTAGTTGTGTATCTTTCACATGATTTTTATATTCCTTCAGCTGCCAGACGGCATGTTCATAAACAGTAAAAAAAATTGCCAAGGTCCCACAGCAAGTCCGGTTTACATTGCTACCTACCCGTACTGGTCAGGCTGGTGCACCAAGGGAGCCTGAGCGTTGCCACAGTTGGGGTGCTGTGAAGAAAACATGGGGCGTCTGCCCGCCCCAGACTGGCTGGGACAAGCAGGCGACCTAATGTATGGTGACCTAAAGCAGAACAAAAGAACACCCTCTTTGGATTTGCTCTGTATTACAAGTACGAATTACTGTCAAGTACCTTCCTTCCATATGCAAGTATGGAGGACTCGCAGGAATAGCGAAAAGCCATTACGCTTTCTCCCCTACAGCTGACTTGAAATCAAAGAGGAAAAAAGTGTGCTTGCAACTCCCTGGCATCAGAGGTTTCACTCAATTTGCAGTTTATAAATAGCGCTTTTGCCAATATTTGCGATAGAGATTCGATGACTGCACAGCCCTTCCACAGGTGCTGGATCACTAGAATGGCCAATCTATGACGGAAAGGCTCTGAAATGCAGTTTTGCCTGGGCAAAGCTAAAAACCAAAAGCAGTTTTAAAAACTGACTTGGGAGGAAGGTGTGAGATAGGAGTGGTAACCACTTAACCCATTTTTGATCAAACACCACACACTATGCCCAAAGTGTAAGCTGAATCACAACCAAATATTTTCCACTTAACACAAAGTCTTTTCTTGCTGTAAAGACCAACAAACGTGAGCTTTTCCTTTCATTACACGACGATAAAGAAAGTGTTCCTGCAGCTGTAGTGACGGCCCATTTATTCCTTTGTGCCTGACCTATCAGCTTATAGCCTAAACCAGACAGACAGAAGCAGACTTTTGTAAATCCTAGTAGACAGGTCTGTTAAAACAACCAACACAAGCAAGAGACTGCTGATTCACAGATATCTGCTAGACTATGGTCTGTTTTAAGGGAGTGTGGTTCTATTTTACTGAACAAGAACATGAATTACAATGAATTTACTGGTACTGTTTTAAAAGTTTGCTGTTGCTTATCACTAGAAGCCACCTGCCTTCTAAACTCACAAAACAAGGAAGCAACAGATGCACGGACTACATTAGCTTCCTATTTCTAGTTTTACGTTGTGTCTTGAAATTAGAGCAACTCCAGTGTCCAGAAACACTGGTCTTGAATGATAATACCTGTATGCATATATGTGCATCTGTGTATGCATATGCATGAATAAATGCAAGATGCTTAATACACAAACACACAGACACATGCAAACATGCTCGCCAGAACAGTGCAACAAGCTTTGTGTAATTCTCAAATGCAATGGAACTTCTCGTAACAGAAAAAGATAATAAATACACCAGGAGTTATCTGAGTCCAGGGAAATGTGGAAATTACCTCATCTGAAAAATTTCCCAGAAAATATTATTTCATTGCAAGTATTCAGGTATCTTAAGAATAACCACAGACAGAAAAGTGTCTTTGCCAAAATCCACGCACAAATGGCAACATGCAGTTATGCTGCCTGAAGGGGAGACAAGAAGACAGATGACGGCTCCAACCTCTACAATCCTGTTTGCAGGTTCTCTCTTACAGATGCGTAAGTGGCAGTTATCAATTCCAGTTAACTTCAGATTGCTTTTATGCCTCCTTCTGCCTTCCCCCTCCAGCAGCTTCCCTCAGCCTGCCCTCCTCTTCCCCCTCTGCATGCCTGCCTAGGAACAAGAACACCCCATAGAAGAGAACTGCCATCAGCAGTGCTGCTCACAACGTGGGCAGTAAATGCAAGAGTTGACGGGCAGCTTCATAAGGTTCCTCACTCCCTGGCAGGGGCAAGTTGCCAAGAACATGTTGGCCCTCCCTCTACCGGAGATAAAAAATATATATATCCAGCTAATCAATTTTAAGTTGCAGAGGGCTTGTTTTCGACTCCTAACGTCACTGCAACCCTGTGGGTTTTCCTAAAGCCTACAATGCCAAGAACCAAACTGGAAATGGCTGTCATCTCCATTGTCATGGCTGCTTTTCGAGAGGATAACTCAAAACACATGATAGCATGCTTTCCCCTTTCGCTTAAGGAAAAGTATTCTTCCCACACGCCATGTCCTCCCAGAGATAAGGGCACAGATAGAACATATATAAATGCATATGCATACACCTATACAGTGCCATTACTTCGGAAATGACAAGAAAAACATTCCTACTCATTTAAACTCCTTTCACCTGGACGCATACCTGCTCTGAGCGGAGTTTGCAGCAGCCTGCATCACTGCAGCAGCCGCCTCCTGTGCCTTACGGTTCACAGTTGGCATGGGTGGGCCCATCCCGGGGCCTCCCTGCTGAGACATGCCAGGAGAATTGGGGGTCATACTGCTCATGTTTCCAGGAAACGGTCTGCTCTGCATCCCGGCTGATGGCATCCGTCCCAGGGGCATGGTACCGCAAGGCTGGCTTGGCCCCTGTCCATGCATCTGACTGTTGGCATTTATACCCATGCCGGGTCCTGGGCCACTGTAACTTGTGTTGGGCACGCCACTGTACGTTGGTGGTCTGGAGTAGTTTCCTGAACAAAATGATAAAAAGCACAGAGAAAAACATTAAATATTTCTATTTAGGAAGTGCAGAACTTACACATGCGAACTAAAGTGAACCACGCTGGCCTCAAAGTCAGAACAACTTTTTCACCATGAGGACAGATAAGCAGTGGCACAAGCTGCGCAAGGAGGCTGTGCTGCTCCCTCCTTTGAGGTATTCAAGACCCAGCTGGATAAAGCCACAAGTAACCTGCTCTGATCTTATATCTGACCCCGATTTGAATACAAGGTCAGCCAAGAACAACTCCTGAGCACCCTTCCAACCTGAATGATCCTATGAACCTGACTTTCATGCACCCTCAAACATTTTTTGCCAAATATATGTCATGGGATAACAGCAAATACAGAAAAGCACAGCCTCCAGAGGGTTAACAACATAGCACACAGTACAAAACTGCCTTATGCAGAAAAGAGATACGTGGCATGTAAAAAACCCATTACGTAAGCTCAAGGGAGAATCTTATTTTTGTAATTTCATGTTCTCATTCTTCATCTTTCTGCAATTTCAGCAACAGGCTATTCTCACCGGCTTCTCGCTCCTAACCGTTCTGCCCATTTGTGTCAGAGATGCTTTGGCAAGGACCAGTGAGGATGGCTGCTGGGCCCCAAGGAACATTCCTACCTACCCCGCCTTCCTGGTAAATTCAAAGTTTGGCTATGCCAGCAGAAGGGGTGGTAGCTTACAATGCACCTCCCCTGGGAAAATTAGTAGTACAAGAGTAATCAGCAATAGCACAAAGATGCTAATATAAACAGGTGCCTTTTGAAGGATGGCATGAAAACCTGGCTGACCCCAACCTACGTTGTCACTGGAGCAAACTGCTCCGCTTACAGCAGTTTAACTCATTTGAGTGCCAATTTTCCTATCATGTTGAAAGCTCAAGCTCAAGAAAAAGCCAGTGTACAGCACTCAGTGTTACGGAAGCAAACCGAAGCACATGAGAAAGAGGAGGAAATAAAAAAGAAAAAGGTAAAGATATGATAGGAAAGTATTTTAGGAAATGGATCACATTACGCTACTACAGTCATCAGTTTTGACTTGTCTTTATTTCCATCTCATCCAGATTAGTGGAAATGCGACCTGTTCCCTCCCTGTGGGATGCTGCAGAGCAGAGTTTCCTGACTACTCTCAGATATTCCCACGCTCGTTCAAAGGCAGCAGCCCTTGGACTCTTCCTCTGAACGTGGAGATCAGCCACATCTTTCCTCAGCGACCAGGCAGAGGAGTCAGTGGCATGCAACTCCTGTTTATATTTAAAATAAATATATTCATCCATCATTTGAATACACACATAATTAATTCATACGCTCCTGCTGCTCTGCTTTGGCTAATCCTCCCCTCCTCCCCACCCGATAACTGACTCACTCTGCTACAAGTTCTCCTCAGCAAGAACGCGCGAGACCTACGCTTCCCAAGGAAACAGAGCCACAATTCTCTTCTGTTTTAGAAACCAAGTTTCTGCCTGGGGATCTTCACAGAAGGATCCTCAATATGTGGTTCAACAGAGACTCCAGATTCAGCTTTATGCTGACTTCAAACTGGCCTGTCACTTCTCCTCCTCCTCTCGGCTCTGCTGCTGGCAGCCGACTATTTTCTGTTCAGGGAGCCAACGCCCCTAGCCACAGTTTTGGTGGCTCAGACCTGCTCAAGCCACGCTTCTGATCCAATGTAAGTGACCACAAACTGAAGGGTTCACTAATTTCACACTGCTCTGCTTAGCATTACGAGGTGTAACACACAACTCGGATGTTGTTCTGGTTTCCCAGCTGCTTTGTCCAAGAAAAACATAACGCAGCAAGACGGTGGATATGCGCGCTCAAAGATTACGCACAGCCAGTTAACACATTTCATGCACATGCTATTAGTAACACTGCTTCCCAAAGTGAAGCAAATTCCCTCCCCAGACTAGCAGACCTGATATCCATAATCACTGGGAGCTACTGTCAGTCCAATTTACATAAAGCCAATTTGTTTTGTCAGTTAGGGTCTAGGAAGTATGGTTCAGCGGAGCAAACACCAATGCTAAATACTATTGCTGTTTTGATGCTATTTTGAATTGGGACAAAAAATCCCTTCTTTCATGTTTTGGCTTCTCCAGCGTAAGCATAACACAGAAAAAACAGCGGAATCTTCTCCATAAAAATATGTGGCTCGGTTAAAATAGCTTCTAATCATTCATCTCCAGGGATACAAGTCCAAGAGCACAGGGAAGTGGTATCTTTTCAGTAAGGAAAACAAGTTTCAATGTTTTTTCCATGGGTTTTTTTTTTCCCCTAAGCATTTCCTCAGTACCTCAAGCACCAGCTATTCTTATACCTTTCCCAGACCACAAAAAAAAGGCAAAATAAAAGCCAAACAAAATACAAGAGGAATTGCCAGGAATGAGGAGTGCAATCTTATTTCCATGTTTCTCTAATAGATTAGTAATTTGTTGGCAGTGGCTTTGACAGAAAACAGATGGATGCAGCATTAAACACAATGAATGCAGCAGATGCTAGGCCAGCCCACATCAGCTGGACGTGTCAGGCAGCCAAGTCCAAGAGCCCACACTTTTCAAGTGGGTACAAGCCTGGCAACAGCGGCTGTACAATACTACTGAACAACTCCTCCCCTCCATATCCGAGGGATTTTTGATTCCAACTCCCCCTTGGCAGAGTAGAAATGTACCCAGAGGGACAACATCTCAAATGCACAAGAAAAAAACAAAGCCGTAACTGGAATTGGGAAGAAAAAAAAAGAAGTGTAATGAAGATAAAATATAAAAAAGCATACTAATAACCTGCCAAAGACAGATGTTCATACTTATTGCTGAAACTCTGGTCTACTTTGTCCAGGTTTGCTGAACAAAGTGCTCTGATATCTTGCCATTTCTAGGCAAGCTGAAAAGAGGGAAATTTGAGAACTACCTGTTAGTTTTGCTCTCTGCTTTAGAGATGCAGGTAAGATTCACAGTATTAAAAATAGTATCTTAAAATCATTTTAGAATTGTTTACCCATGCACTTAACCATCCTTTTTCTTGCACAGATGATTTAAATGTACTCTGAATTCCTCTGAAACTGTTTTACCTAGGGGACTTCAGTAGATAGAGCTGATATTAAAGTCTTAACTCCACAGGCTGCTGCATATGTGGGTCTGGATTCTGAGGTCCAGACTCTCGAGATACTTAGGGCACCTCGTGCTTAAGATGCTATCACTTTAATTAAGATCTAGGATTAAAATCAGTGTGAGCTAGATAGCAGAGTGCTTTTGTGAAACGAGTCCAACGTTAAAAGTTACAAAGCACAAATACTCAAATCCCATTACTTTACCATGAACAAGAAAGGGTTTAACGTACTGTGAAGTTCTGGGATTGTGATTCAAACATATTCAGTAGTGGTTTCTCTCTTTGTTATACCCAAACAGAACAGTTTTACTGCTGAATTGAGTAGGAAAAGTCAAGAGAGATGGGATGCATTTCTGACCCGTTTTACTGATCCACAGGAAGTTTTTTTCTGCCCCAGTCTTAAAAGACCCAGCTGACTACAGCACCCCACTGCTCTCCAGAGTGCTTTTAAGGGACATTTTGCTGTGGCAGCAGTTTGATGCTCGGGTCATAGACCAGAGCTTCATTAGCCTCTGAGCTAGATGTTGTCCAAATACAAACCAAAGAGACTGTTTCTTTCAGTAACAACTTCCATTCTCACTCTGCTTTTTTTTTAATTCTTGGGGACAGGAAATGCTGTGATTTAATACAAAATTAAAATTAATGTTCTGTACCACATGCTCCTGTGTTGTATCACAGACACACAGAACTGTGGAGCCATCGCCATTTTTTATTTTTGTAGGAAATGGTTTCACAGGATTGGACTAGGTCCCCAGTACAGAATTGCTTCCTGGGAAAATATATTCTACTCTTATTATAGATCTAAGTGTCATGTAAACACATGAAAACCAAATAAATCAACCATATGCACAGAATGGATCATTCTGCTCTCATGAACTGGGAGCTAATTCCTCCAGCCCAAACTTACTGGTGTAGTCTTTACCACAGCGAGCAATTCCACTGCAGAGAAAGGACACTAGCCTTGAGCAACGGTTTTCAGGACAGCACATAGTGAAATCTAGCGTTCAGACTAAAAGCTTGATGTCACAGAATGCTTTGACACATATATAAAAGCGCAAGTCGTCCTGTCGAACTCAGCCTATGCGTAACAATATTCTGGAGGAAGGCCTATATGAACAAAACACGGAAAGCAAATAAAATCCTTAAGAATTATTTTAGTTTAATAATTTCAGAACTCGGCTGCAACCCAGGTAATTTTTAACATATTTGTCATTTTGGCAACAAAAGGCAAATGGGTAACGTTATTATATATTCATCATTGCGGGCACATAATTGTGTTTTGTAAGAGGGTATGTTAAGAGATGCAATTACAGATTACTTTCATTAAAAATGAAAAATGGTATAAAAACCTTAAATCCAGGTAAATACATGTCTTTGAAATATCACCATCTTCGTCCCTGGATTTTATTAATGGTCACATTAGCCTGGTGAAAAAGTAGTATGTATTCTTCTGCTCTATGTTACCTGTAGAGCTGCAAGTCTGCAGGGCCCTAATTTTATGATGACCAGTGCATGGGATCACCGGTGCTCTCCAAGAGCTGGCAGAAGAACACGCTTTTCATCCATCACACTATTCACCAGACCCTTCTGAAACGGCCTGTTAATGACAATGATGCTCATTTTCTTCCTGCCCCTCAAGTTCACTTTTTAATAGCCGTTTCTTCCTGACCGCGACCCATAAAATCATTACATAGGCACTTTCATCTAGAGAGGGAGGAAAAGAACTGCTGAACTCAAGCAAAAAAGAAAGTAGTATTCGGCGTGTTACTTAAATGCATTGATTTAGTAGAAAAACCTTTCCATTCAATCAGTGTGGATGGCTAATGTTTTACTGCACTTGACACCCACTATTCCCATGGTTCGGAATCTCAGCAGCAGCAGTACAGCTGGAAGTCAGGATAGCACATCATAAATCCACTGGATTTTTACCAGTTAAGCTAGTTGCTCACTGTGCAGATAAAAATAAGCACTTGGACAGCATTTTATGGCCACAAAATGCTTTCCAAATAAAAGGAAAGCACCAGTCAACTGGAGTTAGGTAATTAATCTTCACACATGGCTATAAGGCATTACTAGCCCCATTTTACGGTTATGGAAAGCGAAGCAGAGAAATGAATCTACTTGCCTAAGTTGAAAGATGGTGTAAAAGGCAGAGCCAAAATTAGAAACTGGGAAATCTTGGCTTGTAGCCCTGTGCTCAGAACACTACAACAAACGCGACCCAGAGCTGAAACAGAAAGGAACGCTGCGCAGGGCAGCAAGGCTCCCTGCAAACAAACAGCAGAACCAGTTCTCAGAAACTCCGGAGACTAAAATAACCATCCTTGCTAGCATGGGCAAGCCACCGAGCCCTTACAGAATTTCCCATTGCTGGCTCCAGTCCTTTTTGAGGATTTTAAGTAAGAAAGCAATATTAGGAAGTGCTGAAATAGAAATCTTCTTTATGTACCTCTAAAGAAAATAATGCCCCTTATATATCCTGTGGTTTGACTTCAAGTTCATTAAATCCCTAAACAGATGCATACTTTATAAAGGTTATCCATTAAAGGCAAAACAGTAGTCAAGTTCAAGGTTGTACGCATTGAATGTCCAGGGGCAGAAATTGTGTATTCTATTTTTGTTTTAGTCCTCCAACAATTCTGTCAAACAAGCAAAATAAAAGGAACTGCCTCTCTCAGTCTGAAGGGTTAGTTAAGATTCACAAACCGTATGCATTAGAGCTCAATATTATATTCCCACAGTAGCCACTGTATGATTATGCTCATTAGAAGACTTTAACCCTCACAGTCACCACGCAATTTCAGAGTGGCCTTGGGACTCCATCTAAGAAAAGAAGTCCTATTTTGGGATTGGTGTTGTGACCCTTATTCCATGCTTGGCCAAACGTGGTCTCATTGCAGAGATGAAATGCTTGGGCTTCTAAACAATGGCCCTGGCAATGCAACAGATTCATCATTTCCTTGCCCAACTTAAGGTCACTATTTTTATACAGAGAAAGGTGCTAATACCAGAAGCAGCTTCTTCCACAAGGTGCAGTTCCACCTCTGAACGACAGTTTTGTTTGTTTAGGTTTTTTGGGGAGGGTGTTGTGTGTGTGGTGGTGTTTTTTTAAGAAATCACATACCTACCTACATACACGATCTGTATATTTGTACAAACATATATTTTTTAAAAATATCATATATATTATCAGCAAGCATTTTTACCTTGTGGTCCATACTGGCTCATCTGAGGCCCATAAGTACCACTTGAATTACTCTGCTGAAAGCTACCGATTCCAGGATGCACCTGGCCTCCAGGTGAGGGGTGTGGTGACATGGAAGGTCCAGTTTGCTGAGGTCCATACTGTGACATTTGGGGGTTCCTCTGAATGCCTGCCATAAAACCTAAAGGAAAAAAAGCACCAAAGCAAAAATTAATATTCTGGCAACTGTTCTTTATTTAAGAAATCTTTGACATAAAAAAACCCTAACCCAACCCTCTTTAGTTATTTTTGGACTAAAGATACCCAGAAAACTGTTGCTGTTCACAAGAACAGAAACAAACGCATCTTCAAGTCAGCAATGCTGTCCCAACAACCAAAACCTGTACACAAAGACTCCAAACCTTTTATTTCTAAAAGAAAGACAGGACAGTCCTGCTTAGTTACAAATGGCTGCTGATTTTAAAATTAAAACAAACCTTAGGGGAAAAAAAAAAAAAGCAATTATCTACCTAATAAGTAGTAGGGAATTTGCCTGATGACTTATGGTGGAAGTATCATAACTTCCAAAATTATACATTGCTACCAAAATGCCTAACTTCAGCATATAGAAAGCCACTGTAAGTACTCCTATTGCCCACAAACTCTCAGGATATAAAATGTCCCTTTATGTGAAGACTAGTCATACCAGCCAGAAAAAAAAAAGTCATTTTGGTGTGTATTTGTGCTCTAGGTCCTTCTTCTGGTCCTTTCCCAGCATACCTGTATTGCATTCTCTCCTTTCGCCCTTTAGTAAATGTATCAATGAATCCCAATTTAATTTAAGGCTCACAAGCTGCAGCAAGAGACCTAATGAAATTCTATAAAATCTAGCAGCTTCATATAAAGGAACAGAACTAAGCCTATTAAATGGGAGAAGAGGAGGGTTATGTGGCGGGGGTTTTAAGTTTTCATGAACTGGGAAAAAGCCTGCAGTCCCACCAATGAAATGTCTATGCAGGGATGCTGGGTTTCTAAAATTTTACCCTGAAAGGTTTTAGTGCTGCTTTCAGTGTTGAAGAGGATGTGCTGAGGAGTCAGCAAGGTCTGATTTCTGGAGGAAATTGGCTTTTTTTTTTTGTGTGTGTGTGTGTGTCTTCTGCTTGCATATTAAATTTTATCTTCCCATTTCTTCAAGGCAAAACATGAGTGTAGTGAAGGACAGTGTTTGTCATGGAGACAGGTCATACTGCTGCCCAGCTGGGTGAACGTGCATGAGCAAGTCTGCATTTTGACCCATCCTGCAACTAGTTGAGGTGCCTGCGCTTCGAGGCTGCAGAGAGCTGAAGCATTATTTATGGAAGGTGCCCGTTTCCTCTCCCCTCCATTAATTTTAGTGGCGTGTGTGTGGGGAGGTGCGAGGTTGAAAGCCAGGAGACACCTCACGTGGCAGCATTAATGATGCCTTTCCTTACCTTAGGGAGGGCATAGAAGAAAGGTAAGAGCAAAACCCCCAGACAGTAAGCAGACAACCAGAAGCTGCTGAAGCAAAGATCAGAAAAAGGAAAAAAAAAAAAGGGAAAAGGAGAGAGAGGGGCAAAGACAAATTGTGAAGACAGACAGAAGCGGGTGACAGGAGAAGGGAGAGGTGGCAGAATATGACCGTCCCAAAGGGCCGGGGCATCCTCCCACTGGTTAGCGTCAAACGTCACACAGACCCAGCGGTCAGTGCCTGATTAATGAGGAGAGGTCATTTTTCCTCAGACACGTACAGACACGTGATCAAACTCGTAACTGAAAACATCGAGGTACCACGGCTCCCACGACCGGGCGGCTCAGTGGTCTCTCCGTGGGGACCACAGCCCCAACAAGCACGTCCTGAACTTGAAAGAGTAAGGTTCTCGTCCTAGCGCTGCTGTTACTGACGCGGCAGGTGATGCTGGGTGAACGACCTTCCCGCCATCCTGCGGGTTGGCCTCCCTGTTTGCACACTGATGACAAAGCGCTGTATGAAAGCGGATGGTATTCACGTTGCAGAGATGAAAGGCGGTGTGTACTTTACCACAGATCAGGCTTTGAGTCCAAACACATGTAAACAGTTTTTGAGCCCTCCACAAACCTTTGCTAGATAGCACACTTATCCATCCACTACAACCCTGTCGGAGAGACAAGAAGCTCAGTGCTGCAGGTCGCAAGGAGAAAAACCAGGAGCCGAGATGATCGTGCACCCCTTTGTGCCCAGTTCTTTCGTGCTATGAAGAACTCAACCCATAACGTGCTAAAGCTCTAACAACTGCAGGGTTTGGCAGAATACGCACAGTCTTCCTGACCTTTGTGCAAGCCCCAATACAGGGGATTCGATTGCACCTGAATTGCAAATTCAGAGCCTGGCACCCGCTCTGGAGGAAGCCGGACCACAGGCATGGGCATGCGGCATGGCAAGTAACCGATGGCGAAATGGTGGCTTGGAAACTGGTCTGTACTGGTTGGAAAACTCCACGCTCCTGCGAAGAAAAGCTCGTATGACCTTCTCCACTTAGCTCTATTTTGAAACAGACCCCTTGATTTTTAGAATAGTTCTACTCTGTGCACAAATCTTATTACAAAGCCTATGCCTTCTGCCGACAGTGCTGTAACTAATTTAGAAACCTAATACAATCGTATGCCTGTATGAAATAAATGCTTGCATTCCCGACACACATACACCATATACATCACACTCGTGGGATCCATTTAAATGAAAAATTTTGTACTGGTCACACTAAGTTTTTTATTATAAAGACAGTAAAGTTACTCCTGTATCTAGTACAGAAGTGAGGGTTTTCTGTTCACCGTGGGCTTTTTAATCTATACAAGATAACTTTCCAAATGTTGTCCTAGTGATAAAGGTTTTTCACCCTGGTTATTATCGCAGGCAGTACTTTTCTTAACACCACAAGGATGGATGATGCATTGAAAAGCTATCGTTTGTATGGGTTGTAGTGATTTCCAGTAGTGATGCAGATGGACTGCTGGTTGTTGAATCTAATGGAGAACATGGACTAACGTCTAATAGAGAACATGGACTAATGTCTAATGGAGAACATCAGTTTTAGCCAGCTCTGCTGTTGTCAGAAGGGCTCCTGAAGGGACTAGAGTAATAAGTGAAATAAATGTTTCCACTCAAATGACCTCTTCTTCAGGAAACTTCTAATCTGTTTCTGATGCTGTGGAGTGGACTGTGTGGCTACGTGCACAGTCATACACAAAACACGCCAGGACCATTCCCTGGCCTGCAGAGCGATGTGGCACGCTTGTGTCCGTCCAGCTAAACCTTCCCACTCAATCCTGGTAGCCTCACCCGTACGACTCCTGTGCGCAGTCCCTTCTGCTGCCTCCTCCGTGCCCTGGGCTGTGCTCAGGCAGGGCTCACAGGCGTCAGCCAAAACCATGCTGTGCGCCACGCCAGTAATTCAACAGCAGAGATGACTGGGTGATACTACTCAAACTCATGCTCTGGCCTTAGTTTACAGAGATGTTGATTAACGCAACGAGAATGGAATAGGGTCCTTAACAGCTTTTGACGTGAGGCATGAGTTTCATCATCCCAGAGGGTGTGAGATCCCTCTCAAATGAGGTTGGCTTTGCTATCTTCTCTTGAGCATGGACAGGTAAAGAATTAAGGAAAAGGAAGCCTGAAATTCAGGAAGAATATCTATGCCATATTATCTTCTATCACTGTCTGTAGGGTACGTTGAAGCACGGCCTTAAAATAGGACATGCTCCAACTTCCTTCCAGAGAGCAGAGGAGTCATTTCAACAATAGATGTGATGTGGAGAAGGTGGCAAGATCAGGTCCTTACTGTGGTCTGGATTCCATTACAAGAAATAAGGGTCTATCCTCATCTACCTCTGTGAGAGCCCAGTGAATGTTCAGAGATCAAACTCAGTGCATGAGTTTGAAGTGTTTCAAATATTTGCAGAAAGCTCAGAAGTCTTAGAGAGAAAAGGGGTTCCTGGTCAAGACGTTAACATTCTTGCATCATAAAGAGAAAACAACATCAATCCTAGAAATCTTATCAGAAATGAAAGGGAGCAGCTGGCATACATTCATTGTTCCTTATTTACACACATTTTCCCTAGTGTTCAACTTCATTTTATAACCGATACAAAAAGAAATAAATTTTCCTTCCAGAAAATGACATCTAAGATAAAGTTTGCTTTTGTAAAGAAGGGAAGTAGGATTACATTAGAGCTGCGCTGGAGCAAAGGCAGTGGACCGATTAAACAGCCAGACTGCACCTGACATGTCAACCTCTGTCTTTTAAATAAACTGCTAGGAAACAGCTATGAGTTAAGACTTTAACAATTGCAAGGGCAACATGCTCATCAGAGAACAAATCTACTCCCTTCCCTTAATATTAGTGGTAAAAGAGGTACAGGTGATGCTTTACTTGCCATCACAACAAGAGATTACTTACTGAAAAAACACTTGAGTGGATTTTAGCAAAGTAAGCTATTTCAGGAGTAGCTGAATAAAGTGAACCTGCCAGAAGTATTCTCTTCCTATTTAGTTATTTTTGTACTACGTTTACATACCTAAAGACTAGGTTGTCTTTATTAAAAGCCCAATTTAAAGCTGTAGAGTCATCTTCGCATTTTTGCAGTTCTAAATGAAACAGTAGCGTACTATTAACACTTAGCACACCATTTCTATAATAAAATATGTTTGCATGTTCAAATAGCACATATATACAAGGTTTAAAAATGGTCAGGTAGCAGCACATTTTTCTTCTTTCTTTTTAGCAAACTATAGACAAAAAATATAAAATGAGTAATGCTTACGATAGCAGTGTTCCTGCTCCTTTGATAAATGAAAAGACAAAAATAAAGCTTCTGTTGTCCTATACAGTACTAACATCTGGTAATATGTATCATATAGCTAATACCATATATGATGCCTTTGTAAAAAACATATAAAATCTTGTATAAAATCTTATGCATATGTATACACAAAACAGATAAACAGTAAATTACTAAACCTTCATGAAATTAGGCACTAAGGCTGTCTTTCTCCCATTTGTACACTGACCAGTACAAAATCAGCTGTCTGTTGAATACTATCTCCTTAGCAGTAACCATGAAAAACACGCACCGAATGCGCTGGGTGTTGCTATAAAATCTGAAATGGATTCTTTCGATATTTTAAAGTCTTGGCTTGAATAT